GACGAATATCAGCAACAAAACCAACTCCATGGTTTGAAGCACGCACACAAGACATAATAATGACATCTCGCTCCTGCCCTTGAAAAGCATCAACAGTGTTTATGTAAATATCCTTCCCTTCTTCTGAGTTGAGAACCTCCTCAAATTCTCTTTGGAGGCACTTCAGCTGCAGTTTATATGGCGTGATGATGCCAACAGTTACCTTCTTCCCGCCATTAGACTTCGAAAAATTCTGAAGATGTTCATATAACCTTAAAGAGAACTGTGCTTCATGAATATTCTGGTATGATACTGAGCCACCTCTGTGAGACTCTCGTCCATGCACAATATCATAGAATACATATGGCTGAAGCAAAGGGTCTTTATAGTACATTTCATCTGGTAAATTGGCAACACTCTCACTGTCAGTTAAGCGTCCCTGGTAGAAGTATCTTGACGGAAAATCACGAATTTGAGGATGCATCCTGTATTGAACAGACAATAGCATAGTCGGACAACCTGCTTGCTGAAACCTCTCAAAAAGACTTCTACTATAAAGCAAAGTTCCTGCTGCTTTACTAATAACAGTTGCAGGAAGTTGCTGAGGATCTCCCACAAGAACACATCTCGCAGCACCAAGTGAAAGTGGTGGAAGTACTGCTACTTCACTTGCCTGGGCTGCTTCATCTATAACTACCATATCAAAGCCATGTGCGAGACGAGAAAATATCTTCCGACCACTACTTGAAACAGTGGTGAAAACTATCTCGGCTTCATTAGCAAAACTCGCTTCAAGGTGAGCTCGAGCATCTTCCAAATTAAAGTTGCTTCCAGGACGAAACCTGCTCTCCAAAATACAAAGCCGGGTCATCTCCACCAACACTTTATCTCTTTGTTCAACAGCTTGAGCAAGACTTCGCAATAAAACATCACGATTTTGATCACGAGCAAGAAGAACTTCAGGATCGACACCAACCGAGCCTTGAGATCGACCAACTACGGCAGCGGCATTAAGTTGTCTCTGAAGAAGAGATATCTGTTGTGAGAATTGAGCTTCACGAGCTCTCAACTGATGCATCCACCCAATAACCTCTTCACGGCCCTTGAGTAAAAGCTGCTCAGTCCTTCTCTCAACAGAAACTGCTTGAGCTGCTCTAGTTTGTGAATCCACTCCAACTCGAGCAACATCGGGTCGGTACATCGACATCTCACCATCAATGAATCCACGATCGAGGACTCGTGCTAGCAATTCATCAGTTGCAGCATTTGATGGAGCACACACAAGCATTCTAGGCTTAGGAGATAGTTTTGGGAGAGTGCGGAAAAGATTTTGGTCCATACTCTGCAGTACTTCATCAATTGAACCTACACAGGTACTCTCGGAACTGCACTCATTAGATTGTTTGTAGCTCTCTGGAGCAAGTTGCTTAAGGAGAGCAGTGTAGTAATGCTGATATTGGACTAGATGGATTACATTTAGCATACCCCATACTGTGTGCGTTTTCCCTGTACCAGGAGGGCCTTGAACAAGTGTGAAAGGCCAAGGCTCTTGCCTTTTTGTAAGTCCATTGGTCGTACCTGCAGCTGTATGCATTGCAGCCCACTGAATTGCTGCCAACTGTGGACCATTAAAAGTCCTATGAAGATGATCTATAAAACTGGGAGTAAAACATTCTGGCATTGCAGGAGGCTGCTCTTCATACTTGGGGAAGTGCTCAGGACTGGGCTTCAAAATAGCATTTTGCATCTGTGTTGTCAAATGATGCATCACTATTTGATACTAGATAGATAGTAATGAAGTTGAAAGTTTGTAGAATAAGAAAATGATCCAAACCTGCGAGCTAAGACGACGAAATGCATGTAAGGCAACATACTCGCGTTGAGTAGTTGCCAGAGATCCAAGCACAGTAAGGTACCAGACACTCTTTGGCTGGAACTTCCTCAGAATATGATTGTCTTCCCCTTTGCTGAAAAAAGGCAGATAAGTGTAAGAATCAAACGAGTGATCAATGAAAAGACAGTTGCACATAAACATGAAAAGTTGATTTTAATAATTCGAGTACACATTCATCGGTACATGGGAGTCTCTACTTAATATGTCATTAGCACATGAATTATATTCATACTTTGGAAGGGGAAAAAGATCCAAACAGAAAAAGAAACAATGTGACATTAGATTTTACAAAAATAAAGAGAGAACTTTTAAGAAACAATCCTCAAAAGTGCATGCAGCATATTCCCTTCCGTGGTATTTCCTCTACAAAATGAAGTTCTTTGTCCATTAAAACCCAAGTTTATGAGCACAGATGTTTCATAGCCTGCTCAAGGAAAGTAACAACACAGAATGCCTAGTATGAGTCCCAGCTGCAAGGTCACCAGCTGATATATTGGAATTTTACAATTAGGAGAAGATAAGTTACATCTAGTGGATGGGTTTGCGACCTGCCTAACAGTCTTGAACATTTTAATATGTTTCAGGAGATATCTGTTTTACTAGATGCGACATGCAAGTTCAAATGCGACGAAAATAACCATAAATCAAGAACAACCTGCCTAACCATAAAAAGAAAAAAATTAGAGGCGAGATCAATATAACTGTTTGTTTTATAATTTAACAAAAATAGTAAGAGTTTTTAGCTTTATATATTACCTACTAGAATCATACGAATCCCCAACATAGAAATGAAGAATTGCTCCAATAGGATCACGAGTGTCGGTAGGTATATGACGCCTAACAGTACCGGCAATTCGTCCCGAAATATCAGGTTCAGAGTCCTCTTTATTAGCACCAGCATTAGTAATCCTTTTACTAGATCTCGCTGCATTATGTTACAATTAGAGATGATCAAATCATGTGAAAAATGATTCCATCCGAAGTACATGCCTAGAGACTCACATGAAATTATGTAAGAGAATATATTTATGCTAGAAAACCAAACCTGCACCAGGCCTCGGTGATGAAAGAACTGCAACATCCCCCTCTTTAAAGGTCCACTTGCATTCATATGCTGGAAAAACTATTACATCATACCATCCTATATTTTGAAAAAAAACATACTCACGTTACATGTCAGGGTATTGACGTTGTAGCAACTTAAAATATCTTTGCCTCGTGAATATTTAAAAACTATCAAAATAAAACAATGATCTTAAAACTTTGACCACTTCTCTATTGAAATTAAGATCAGGGCAAGGCAGGAAGATGCTGAATAACAAAAAACACAGGATGCATGCTAAATAAGCAGATTGCATTTCACCAACAGGGTAAAGTATCTACTGAACTTTATAACAAAAACCACTTTACCAGCACTCTGGAAAGAAGAAAATATTCCATCAGCCACTATAACAGCAAGTGTTGTTCCTTTGGAGAACATACATTTGTCAGAGAAAATCACAGGCTATGACCTGCACAAAACAGGCACATCATCTATCCAGAAGACTACAGCATACTGCAGAAACTCCATTCTAGTGGAAGACCATAAACTACCCTGTAAAAAGGTGCTTGAGACAAATATATGTTCATAGAAATGTCATCCATTTTGTCTTGACTTCCAAAAAAAATACGCTGAGGGTTATAAGAGCGTCACTTTTCAGTGTGTCAGAATCATGAAATTTTATCTCTCTTAAACTATGTCTTATGAGATTACCATTCCATATAAAAACCCACCATAAGGTGGGGAAGCGTCAAAACTAACAAAAATAGGTCACATCCGTAGAACAAGAACCTTTCTAAGGCCGCTCCATGATTTCGGAATAGACTACCGTCACTTCCTCATTTTCTAATGGAGGAGTAGGTAAAGAAAAAGGTCACATGGGGTTGGATGGATACTCCTCATGACAAGTGGACTTAGTAACTCCATGATGAACAGTAAGTTTGAAACTAACTTTGTCGAAACTTCCCAACCCTTTTATCAAATTTGCTCATAAGTTCAAATATAGAAGATTCAAGAACTAGCTAAGCTTCATATCAATACATTTCTCCAGGCAGTCCATTTACAATTAACAAAATCATGTAAGCTTGCCTATAAGAATGACCAAATTACAACTGACACCTTTGGCCATTAAAAATAAAACAAAAAATTTCAACCATGGTCAGTTCAAACTTAAGTACGGTGATGGCTTGTTACTATGATATTTTGTGAACCATAATTACAAGATCACATCTGCACGGGATTAGGTGCATCATCTCAAACAGCTCCATAATGCGTCTGTAAGCTTCCCTAGGCAATGCTCATCCATAATACCTTCTGTATATCGGTCAAGGTGATGAGTCCAATCATGAAACTCCTAATACTATTACCTAATTCTAGAAGAGAATAGGCTACAAAATCCAACTTATTTACGAAACAGAACCAGGTTTGGGTTGAGAAGACTTTTCAAGTATATGGACTCTAAACCTAACCAAAAAGGGCTTGACAAGTCATTCCCGACTACCAACTAACAAGTGATTGCAACGAAACAGAACCAGGTTTGGGTTGAGAAGACTTTTCAAGTATATGGACTCTAAACCTAACCAAAAAGGGCTTGACAAGTCATTCCCGACTACCAACTAACAAGTGATTGCATTCTTGATATCGTGTAACTGGGTTGAGAAGACTTTTCAAGTATATGGACTCTAAACCTAACCAAAAAGGGCTTGACAAGTCATTCCCGACTACCAACTAACAAGTGATTGCATTCTTGATATGGTGTAACTGGTTTGTTTGAACTTTGAACTGCATAGAGATCCAAGCATTTCAATTAAAGCATAGCAATGAAAAAGATGCAAAGAGCTTTAGTAGTTTGGTTACTAATCACAACAGAAGTTTGTTAAATGGAATCAAAATAAAAAACAAACAATAAATCAAAGAAAAGTTGTAGGTACCATTACAAAAATAAATACATGTATGCAGGAAGAATAAGAGTCTACAACACAAATATAGTTACAACTAAATTATACAAGTAATGAGAGATGTCCTTCAGGCTCTCGGAGAGAAGACTATGTTGCACGGGTATAGGTGTGGGTGCAGGACACGGTAAATTTGTTAAAAGTAGGGTACCGGGACACGGCTATATATATTTCATTCACATGTTATGAGAATTAAAAATCTTATAATATTTTTATGAAAGTTAAGTCAGCTAACTGGCCTAGTTCACAAAAAAATATCAGAAGGATATAACCTAGGGAATAATGTTTTGGTAGATAACTTCTGAAAAGATAATAAATAATCATACATCTAGCACAAGTTAGAAGCCTGATCTTCGTTACTTACTGTTTTTTCACTCTATATATTTGCTAAAACCACAAATCTGATCTTCATGGCAGAAATATCACAATAACTAAATTAAATGAAGTAATTAGCACATTAGTTTTTCCTTGTTTATATGCCGGCTAAAGAAAAATCTTCAATCCAGCTGTTAACAAACAAGCCTATGGCACAAATATCATTGTAATTAAATTTATAAACATAATCTACTCCTTTCAGTTGTTCATCACTCTGTGTATCACATGCTAAGAAAGAACCAACTACTTTGGTTGAAAAGAATGAACAGTATGGACAGTGAAGGAAAACAAAGTTTATACCTCTTTCTCGTCTTTCCACAGTTCTTACACGAACCATGGTGTGTGCATCCTTAGAAGATTCTGTCAACTCCTCCCATGTGCTGTACAATTGCGCTCTACATTCCTCAAAGAGCAAAGGCTCAAAGACACGGACGTACTCTTCAACAGATTCAAAGTGCCCTGGCACACATTGAAGCTCCGCCTCCTCTGAAACTTGTCAAATGATTGTCTCAGAACCCAAAACTCGAATTCTTACTAGATACAAACAGGATTGCCGGACATTTCTTAAAACAAGTCAAGGTGCGTTTACAATTAAATATATCTTCAGAATCATTAGGTGAAGAAATACATATTCCGTGAGTCATTCGAGCTAGATGAAATTATGTCTTTAAGGCTCTATTCTGTAATAGGTAAGAAAATCACAATCTAACTGCTTCTCATTTTTAAACATTGGAAACAGGTCAACATTATAGGTTTTGGCATTCGATCCAAGCATGTAAACCACATGCTTGTCAATCAAATGACTTAATAGGCAAACCATGGGTGGAAATGTTTCAACATAGGGATTTTGTTTTGGTGCACTTCTGTGCAGAGTAAAAGATAAATTCCTACTAACATTTTTTTGTGGTGTAAAAGAAATAAAAATTGGGTGGTGCTTGATCTTATGAATTGCCCTCTGGACATTATCATATGCTCACCATTATTGCAATTACATAATCTTATAGATTTTAACCATGTACTTGTCTGAAGGTAATGAGCTAGCTCTCTGCAATCCAGCCCTAGCCCAAATAATGTCCACCCAATGGGTTAAAACTTAAAATTTGTTAAGATTGCATAAAAACTTAACCACGATATCATATTATTTAATGAGTCAATAACTCAGTCAAAAGGACCGCGAAAGAATTATTGCAATCTTAAAAAAAAACAGTTTCCAAGATTAGTGACCAATTAATAATGGAAGCTCTAAAACCATTCTCGTAATTAAAAGCTTGACCATGATATTGATCTCTACAAGAATCTCATAAACATCTCGAAATTGAATGAAACATCACAAAATGATCGACTTCTGTCAGTTTGACAGGATGGTGGCAAAAAATTTCCTTTCCTCACGGGCGCTGGACAGGGGGAATCATGCCCATGATCAGTTGGATATTGAGTATGAGAGAGACAGTGAGAGAAGATAGGGGAGGCAAAAAGTCAAGGTTGAATTAGGTCAACCGTATTTTATCTGCTTTTTACATCAAAAAGTTAGGCCTAATTCAGCTAAACATTGCTGTAAAATGCCTCTAAATATTCTGCAAAAGCCCACTTCAGCAACAACAGCTGATCAGCTGATCAAGTACTCTATTACTCCAATTCGGGCCAAAGCTACAGTATAAAACCTCTTACACCACAGAGTAGAGATCTGAGTTTAGCCCTCTTCAAAGGCTTAAAACACTGTCTCAACCAACTTTTCGGTTAGCAAAACTGGGATAAAGACTTGTTTGATCCTTCATGTGCATTATCTTCACTAAATTAAACTTGATTAAAACCAACATTTGTTTCATAAAATTTTATTTCCAATTACTACCGTGTGCCATCTTTCTAACCAGCAGTAGTAGATAGTTATACTGTTTCAGAAATGGCTCTACAACAAAATTTTAACTATTTAATAAAAAAAATTTAGAACCCTCCCTCCCTCCCTCCCATCAAGTTTTGTAATTTTTGTGGCATCTTTTACTAATTCGTATATTTTAATATTAAAAAAATCTTTCTAAAGTGATCTTACTCCATCGTGGTAAGAGGCACCAGAAAAACTGAATTTACTAATATAAATCATTTAAATTAACCCCCTTCCCCCCTCCCTCCCTATATATATGTATGTATATATAATATATGTATGCATGTATAGGGTAAAAGGGGGCTGGCGTGTAACTCTAGCCCCCTTAGATGGGTTGTCTCTGAGTTGGCAATACGTTAGCCTTCACATCAGTATCGGAATGAATAGAAAAAGAGTGTTTTGCAAGTTTGCAAATAAGTCGATCATTGTTATTTCAGTATCTTCACCTTCTTCCCTGATTTTTTTCTTTCTCTGAGGCCGCATGGCTTCCCTGATTATTTTCATCTTCTTCCCTGACTTCACCATTTTACAAACCTTCTCAGTATTTCTCTCCTTTTTCTCAATCATATAAGTTTAAGCTCCGCTCCTGACATCATGCCTCTTGATAGCAGTAAATCATTGTGTTAAACAAAATTAATCCTGTTTCCTTCTTTTACAATTCTAGAACTCCATACAACAAAATTTAGTAAAAGAAATGCAAATCAACAAAAAAATGAAATAGAAATTTGAAAGGAAGTGCATCTACAGATTCACCATTGAAGTATCATAATAAGCACCTCATAATATATCTTCTGGAGATTTTTTTTCATAAGATTTCGGTTACAAATCAAAAGCATGATTCTTTTGGACTCAAACTAAGAATGCGAATTGAAGGTTTGTTCTAAAGCAATTTGGGGGATTTTTTTTTTTTTTTTTTTTTTT